TCAGTAGACTGTTAGAAGGTATCCACTTACCTTTCAACTTTACAAACTGGTAGGCAAGTCTGGATTGTGGTTTTAGCCTGTCCACCAAATGCTTCATAAAGACGCATCACTAGAACTTTCTCATCATCCTCAGCCTGAAGGTAGAGTTACAAACCATTTTAATTATCGCATTTTGATGAATTATTTTTCTTGACTGCATCAAGGCTTTGTAAAGGAGTCCAAAATAAACAAAAGCAGAACGACTTTTAGTTTTCTTTTTGGAAAGTAAATTCAATACAGCTCAAACTGTAAAAATGTAAAACACAGGTCTTTAGTGAATCATATTGAATAAACTGTTTAGTTTTGTCATGGTCAGTTCATTAAAAGGCATCCACTTTCTATTTTTTATTCAAAGGTACTCAAATACTGAAAACCAAAGGAAAAAAATATCACCTTCTTGATGTTTTCAATGATGACAGCTGAGTTATCTACTGTGAAATATGAACCAAAGTGAAGTGGCGTGGTACCAGGAAAAACAACCAATGGATTATTAAGATTATAAGCTTCTTGGATCACACGACTCTCTTGTAAACTGCCTGCAATGACAAGAACAAATTGACGCAAGGTAGAAATCTATAATAGGCTCATAAATCCATAAATTCCTGCAAAATTACAAGCTGACATGTTAGTTAACCACAAAAGAGACCAACAGAGGATGTATCTATTTGAATTATTAGTATGAAGTCTTTTGAGCAATGACATCAAGGACTCCTCACAAGTGCCCTAGGCACTGTAAGTCGTAAGCCTGAAGAAACCTGTAGAGAGGAGACAATGAGAAGCAGTTGCAGTTTTAGAGGTGGGAGGCATACCTCACAGGAATATCAGCTAAGCACAAATTATTCTATATTCAGGTTGTAACTAAGAAATTGCACAAATGTTGACATTTCAAACAAACCAAATATTTTCCTGGTTGACATGTAATGGCAGAAAGTATTCAAAAGGAAACAAAATCAGATGCTCTAACAAATTAGCATGGTTTGTGCATTCCACAAGGCAAAAGCTGATGTGGGCATAGGGCAATCTTTAACACAGTACACTTGATTATGCAAATCCCTATTACAATCTGTATCCAACCTGCACAGCACATGCACTAGGATCAGAAGTTCTGGTATACATTGTATATGTAGTAGAATAAAGAGCACAGTGGGTAAGAACGGTTATATGAGATAGTGTCACACTGCTGTTGCTATGGGATGACCAATCAGCATCCAAGATTCAATATTTGTTTTTTTTTCTTCTCACCTTTATGAGGCATGATGGCATATGTGAATTCATGCTGTCCCATGTCAGCTGATGGATCAGGACTCTTGGATGATCGTAGTCTGAAATAAAATAAAGAAGTGTAAAATTACAGAATAGGAACACAGTAATATCCAGCATTTTTCCAAGAGATAGCAACAGCTCACTGATCTACAATAATCAAAATAATAGTACAATGCTTTCCAAAATGGAATTTGAAAGCAAGTGTTTAGCAAACCTTGTAAAGCCATCTTTCTTCAAGTACAACAAATTATACTTACAAGCATAATCTCATGATGTTACCATGGCAACTGTGGCCATATTTGCAATCATTGAGGAGAGCAACGCCAAACCCATGCTCTGACAGATCAGCCCATTTATGGCCTACCACCTTGAAAGAGATAATAAAAATGTAGAGTTACCATGCTTATCCTCCAGTAAAAAAGACCTGCCTTTGAGTCAGATTCAAACTTAGGAGAACAATATACAGCTCCTATGATATTCACAGTTTAAAATTAATGGGGTACATGTTGATTTGCTTTTGAACTGCAGGCAGCACATACAAGAGTAAAATTACCCCAGTGGTAGTGAAATCCGACATGACAAACATTGATTTACATGTACGTAGGTTGATATCTCTGTGCTTGACATTGCTATGCGACTTCCAATAGAATGTCCAAATTAGGGTGGATCCCTGCAATACGATTAGGATCCGTTTCAACTGGAGAACAGTCACTGTACTTAGGCTATGTTCCACACACAGTTCAAAGAATGCACTAATCAATATGAAATTGATAAACAGACCTCATATTTTGCAGAGTCCCAGGATGTATTGAAGTGTGTAGGTCGTTGAAAATGGCCGAACTGGATGTCGTATGTTGCACTGGTAGAGCGCACGTTGAGAGGAAACTCAACTTTCAAGAACTTGTGGTTCTCGTGCCATTCCACCTCCATGTCAAGGAATTGATAAAATTGAAGCCATAACATTTCACAATCATTATACAATTAACATGAGACAAAAATTAAACATTGACCCAATGAACAAATGTAGGTGATCTCCCTTACATTCACCGTTCTACTTCTAGATCTGCTTCTTTTCAAGCTTGCAAACATTAAATTTATTAGACACATCCTCACAAATGTAACTTTCCAACACAAGATAGACAAACATATATTCAGTATTGGCTTCATCTGATCACACATTTACCACTTCCAGTTCACACACATAAATGTACATGTATGTAACCCCGTCCAAAACGAGATCTTGGGTTACAATTTCAAATTTTATTTCTTTATGACTGTGTTTTCCTTTTGCATACTTAAATTGTTCTTTCCTGAACTTTTGACTTTTGTACTGATAAGCAGTGTTCCAGTGGTGAACCTTTGATCTATTGCCTATTCCTTTTGCCAAGTAGCCTGCTCGTCCTTCAGTTTATCTTTAATGTTCCTGCTCTCCTGGAAGATCACAGGATGCTCTTTGTATCCACTGCCTTTAATCTATGACTAGTACACCAGTGTGTACACTCCCAGTAAACTTTTCAGGAGATCGGCAGGATATTGGGACACTTAATTTCTAGTTGTTGTTCATACCTTACCCAAGCTGTGAAAGCCATAAACTTCTGCTGAGTGCTCATCTGCCTAGGTAATAAATGACCAATCAGTATTGGAGTCATGTGTGACATTTTTAAAGTTGTCCAATGAGAGCCTGAGCTGGTCATGTGGCAAGAGCATGTCCTGGGTGGCAGTTTGCCCCAAAGTTTTGGCAAACCTGGCATTCCAAACCTTGCCATCATGCTGACTACATGCCTGCCTAATTTTGCCTGCATTCTGCACTATTTTCCTTTGGACTGGAGGACCTCCAAATCCAAGTCTTCCCTTTATGTTCACAAGTGTTAGCTCTCTATCTTAGTTACTGAACTGCATGTTCTGAAAGAGGGTCTGGAGGGGAGTCTCTGCAGTCCACCTGAAGAGCTGTCCCCAGACATTCCAGCCACTGAGCTATTGTGACTTGCAGACACAGCACAATCATACCAAGGCATCTGTGGCATTAATCACCAGCATCAATCTTGCAAGATCCGCGAGTACATGTATTCCTTTGTGTTACATTTCTTCTGCTGAACTTTTGCTCTCCACTGGAATGACTTGTCGCAACTCATCTCTACATCTAGAACTTTGGCGCCATTTTTTCCTTGAGCTCAAAGTATATTCTAACTTAACAGGATCCTGCTTTTTCTGTACGTAAACCACCCATGTTAATTTATGGCCATCTGAATTGGTGTTCTCTGGATTTACTTCATATTTCTCATATTGATTGGCTTTCTTCCAATAAAGCAAAATTTCTGTTGAGCACAAATCCTGAATTGTGTGAGATCAAGAGTTTTCAAAAGGGAATTAAATTAATACGAGATTTGGCTCCTACCATTTTGAAATGTGAACCACGGGTTACACATATTATACACATAAGCATGGCAACGAGGTCACTAGTAAACATTTATACACCCGAGTGATCAGGAGAAGGTCGTATTTCCCTTGGCCTTCAGCCTCAGGAAACAGAACCCACTTCTGGTCACTCACAGGCCTGAGGAAACCAAGAATGATGGGACCAAATTATGCCAGTTCATATCTACTTTATAATGCAGCTGTTTCAAAATATAAAATAAGAAAACAACTTTTTGAAGGTTTTACAACTTAATTGCTTTAAGTCATAAGCAATTCAACAATTCAACAAGTAATTAAAATAATTAGTAACAAGTGAAGAACAAGTAATTAATAGAACCTTTTAGTTTCCGTGGAGTCAGTTTCTGAGTTGCTGTTAACTGTTGTTTTCATGTGAGAGCACTATTAATTTCTACCTCCATGCTGTAACCAGTTGAAAATTAATTTATGCATGCACAAAATTAATGTCTTGGCCCACATCCAATTCACGTTGATGCAAATTTTATGCACTAGCATACATTAGTAAACCCAGCATGACCATACATCAGCCAACCAACTAGCAAGTGTGTTCACCATCTATGGTAGAGATAACAAGGAACACTTTTCCTGAATTATGGTGAGCCTCATGCCCCTCAACCAGCATTTCAACACTTGGCTAAAAAAGTACTATACCTCACTGTGACTGGCACATGATTTTCACTGCAGAATATCTCATCTGTGGGTAACTGTTTAGCGGTTTCCTTTATGTAACCAAAGAAATGTCAAGAAAAGCTTTGCAATTTCTGCAGATATTTAGCTATAAATGGTTGTTAGACATTATGATGGAATTTCTGCCCAAGGTGGGTAGTATGCATTGCTTTGCATCTGGGAAGCTAGATTATTGCAAGTTCTCACAGCATTTTGAAACACTTTAACTTAACCTACATATACCTTTGTTGTAAATTTAAGGTATGGGCAACCACTGTCCAATGAGATCACTTGTTCTATCCAGCTTTGGTCACTGATGAAGAGCTTGGTCTGTATCGAGCATCGCAGTTGGTTGTTATCTCTGATCTGTGCAGGAGTGACCTGTTTAGTAACAGGCTGTCTGCAATGGAAAAAGATACAAGATTAGGAGACATAACGAAGAATTAAGAGACTGGAAAATAGGATGGTTAATATAAAAAAAATTCTCATTTGCATTATTTCAATATAAGCTGAAACTATCTGATGTAGACTCAGATTTCCAAGGTTTGCTCCTATATGAACCTTGAAAACATTGAGGTACCAGACCATGTAGTTTCCTGAAATAAGCCTTTATTCATAAATACCTCAGACAGTCTCCCTATTCAACAACGAGCAACTTGACCATGTATTAACATCTGATAATGCCTGCTGAGAAGTGATAATGCCCACTGCGTAAATCATGCGCTGGTACATGGGTAAGAGACAGCTTAATCATGTCTGATTGGTCAAGAGTCTATGTGCCATTCTGAGCCAGTCCTGAACCAGTCTTAAACGTACGTTTTGGACCAGCCAAGCACAAATTTAAAACACAACATTTTTGTCATGTTACCTGGTTTCCAAATGGTAATCCATAACATCCCATGCATCCCAGAAGAGTGGAATGTCGTCAAATATGACAAACTGGTTGCCATAGAAACAGCCCTCTTCACTTGTTCTGAAGGCATCTCTTTGAGAAAGGAAAAGGTTTGTGGAACACTCAATTAGTTTCAGAAGGACTATGTACGTAAAAATCTCAACTACCCAGGGAGATGGGTGAGCTATGAAAAAATCCAAAGGATATTTATCGGTATGCATACACACTGACTGCTACATTTGACTTTTTAAAAAGGCCCAAATCCTACATAATTCTCAGGATTTCCATCACTAAATACTGTATTTATCAATATTTTTTCCAAATACAAAAGGACATCCAGCTATTAATTTTACAGCAGTTTTACAAAGAAGTACATTAATTTGAGGACTGAGTGATATTATGTGAACAAGCCTGTAATTAGATTTGATCAGTTATTTATTATTTATTTATTTAAACTTATTCATGGTAACCCATTCAACTGCAGCTGCTTTTCAAGGGGCCATGTTATTAAAAAGAACTCATGGTTCAGTTAAAAAATAAGGTGAAAGTAAAACGGTAACTAAAATATAGACTACAACATCAAAGTAAAAATAGTAATCAATCACCTAAGGTAAAAGAACAACTTCATTACAAACAAGCAAAACACAATAGAATTAAAACCACCAGAAACATGATAAAATTAAAAATCAAACACCAAAAATTGTATTTAAACAATTTACGGAGACAAACCAATGATGTAAAAATAAAGCCCTTAAATGCAATTAAAACAAAACAAGAAACTGATACAAAAGAAGAAAATTAACAGAAACAAACGTACTGCCACTGATATAACAGTGAAACTGCACAGGGCCGAAGAAAATTTGAATGAGCCACTCACTGAGATAACAGTTGAAACCATACAGTGCAAAAAGAAAAATACATGTACAGATTAATAAATAATCCAAATAAATAATAAATAAATACAATGGATATACTAATGATATTATACATATGAATGCATAGGACAATTTCCACTTGTTAAAATTCTGCATCTTGACATTTGGTTGTCAAGATTCTAGCATTATTACAAATCTACCTATTCAATCATTCCCTCTCTATTTACTCAATGAGGACTCACCTATCAGCTTCTCGGTGCTGTAACTTCTTTACTCGTCCAAGCCGATCTACAACAGCCACAAGATGTTCATTCTCTAGCTGAAAGGCGCCCTCAACTTGTTTTACTTGTACTGGTTTAACACTTGTTGCCATCTCACATGGTGACATGAGGCTCAAAGGTAGTACATTAACCAAAACTGAGAGAAATGACAATTTATTATAATAGATGGTGAAAATGGTAGGAAAACAAACGGCAATAGATAGTTAATCATCCCTGGCAAATTCTACAAACAAATATTTGTTAGGCTAAAGTTGCGCAGTAAGTGGTTTTTTTGGTTTTTTCTTTAAAAATTTGTACCGTGGGGAATCCTAGTCTGGTTCTGTGCCAACAGTCATTGTGACTCCAGATTCACAAGGTGGGAATCAGACCATCATTACAAGTTTTGACTTTTTCTCATTAAAAAAATTCCTCTGGAGCCACGAATAAAAAACTAAGTGTTGGAGTCAAATTAAAAAGAACAAAAGAAGAAATTTCTTAACTTTTGGGTTAAAAAAAAGAATGACAGCTAGGGATCAAACTAGACCACCGACCCAACTTGGAATCTAGAGGTAATTTGATAGTATTTATAAAATTATACACATCAAAGAGGGCACTGTTTACTTGTAGCCAGCTAAATACCATATAAAAATATTTGCTTTACAAATGTAGAAAAACAAAATGAAGTGGTGTATAGTTTGAAGATGAACTGAAATTGTGAACTAACGTGATTTAGGCACTGTGTGTCCCTGCATTAGAGTTGTACATTGCAGGGGTGCGTGGCATGTGTTTATGTAATATCATACAAGACTAGCTGATGTAATGTCAGATGGTGAATATGACATGCATTTTTGTCACCCTGTCAAGTGATTGTTCTTGGCCAATGAAAAATCAGTATTCAAGATAGAAGTATGACAATAGTGTTGATAGTAATGGTACCAAGATTGCGCAATCCTGCCTGTGTTACATCAATGAAAGAAATTTCTTGTTCTATAAAAATGATCAAGAAGTTCACATATTTCATATGCAGTTTTTCCTGATATATTACTAGGAAATGAATACATAATCCATCAAGCCCTCCCTGTGATGTTCTGACCAATCAAAGATGTGACTTATGTCTACTGTGCAGCGACATCCGACGTGCATGTACACACACATAACACACATGGCTGGAACATTCTGTGTTGCACTGGCAAGGTACATACGCTACTGCCCAGTGTTGTAGTCAAGTGCTTTTCAAGTAAAAAGTTCTCTGCCAAATATTTAACTAGTTACGAGGGAACAAAGCTGAAGTACATGGGCACTAATGGTACATGCCAAAAGGTAAGATTACAAGGAACAGACACTATCGCCCAGTGTGGTAGTCAAGTACTTTTTAGTACCAAGCTCTCTGTGACCTATTTAACCAGATGTAGTTAGGAGGGAACAAAGGCTTGAGGCGACTTGATCTTGGCTTGTCTTGACCAGATCATGGCCCCTTGGGCGTGGGCCATACGGGAGAGTGCCAGCAGATGATACGCCCCTTGTGGAAAATTAAGCTCTGATGCAACGTTGACACACCAACGTTTATAAGAGAATGTGTCACAACTCTTAACCAAAAGGAATGTTATGCACACAAAGACTGGAAAATATGCTATTCATCTAAGGCAGATGTAACACCCATGTACAGTACTTCAGCTTTATTCCCTCTTGCCTGCTTCAATATTGGCAGAGAAACTCGGTATTCGAAAAGTACATGTATTTGACTACAAGGCATTGCCCACATGTACTATGGGAAGAGATTATTTATCAGTCTATTGTCCAAACTAAAGTCTTTGATAATGTAGGCACATTTACCCAGAGTTCTTCCTTCACAGTCATGGGTCACTGCTGCACGTTTTGCAATCTTAGCTCCTGATGGTCCGTCATCTTCTCCGTGAGAGGGAAGAGTGATGACCTCACATCGTTGCCAAGAGACAGGATTGAATACACAGTACCCTTTCTTTTGCAAAACAGTGAAACACCAAAGAACAGAAATTTTGAAAATATTTCAATAATTGCAAGAATTGGTAAATGTGTACACATGTATGGTTTGCTTTCAAGTTAACAAGCTGAAACTCAGATCATTGAAAGTATACACACATAGTGCTCCAAGATAGAAAAATGTTTCACACTAATCATTGACAATTTCAACTTTAAAAAAATGACTTCAGACATGTGTACCTCTTTTAAAAATTCCCACGGTTCATAGCATCTAAACTGTCTACCAAAAAATCAGCCTGTTGATCAAATAAAATATTGTCATAGACAAAAAGGGATGCATCCCCTTCAGTCATTGTGTGTCCATACTTGGGAAGGGAAAAAATCATGACTGAAGGGCTGTATTAGAGATGGCAACAATAGACAAACTCTTCAAGTATAAACATAGACCACATCCATAACATACTACTTGACAAGTGTGATACATCAAATCTTCATGATGAAGTGGGTACAGCACCAACCTGCTGTGAAGGTACACACAATGCCTGAAGACCTTGAATGAAGAGATCAGAGGCTGTGTTCTCAATGTCTTTGTATATCATCAGAGCATCATCAACAACCTGCAGTCAATCAGTAAATGAAACAAGCGCTCTCGATCTTTGCCTTCCTTTAATACATACACAGTGGCTACTTGTGTCTATGGAAGAGGCTCAATGTCTTCAATCAGAAGGGCAGTAATAGGAAAACCTTTTAAGGTACTAACTACACAAGGAGATATTGAGGTTGTGCACAGCAGCCATCTTTCCAGTCAGTGCTTTTGTTTTGGAGGTATGCACAAAAATTCTATTCCTGTATATCCTTTGAAACAAAAACACTGATGGGGAAGATGGCTGTCATGCCTAACTTCTATTGAGGCTCCACTGAAATGAAGAAAACACGGAACTGCATACATCATACATGCCCATACAAGTACATACACTCTACTTTATACACTAAATTCTTTAGATCAGTGATAAATTCAATTCATTTATTACCTGCTCTATACATGTCCCTGGTAATACATCATGAAATTGGTTGAGAAGTAATCCCTTCCACATGCGGTCAAGTTGATCTGATGGATAGTGCCCTCTTGGTCCAGAAGTGGCCAGTCCAACTGAATAAACCAGCTCCACATTTCGCAGTAAGAACTCCATCTTGCGATTGCACTTCTTTATCTATTAATAGTTCATAAAAGTGCATGAAAGTTCATATCGAACCCAAGAATACTGGACAAATCAGAAAAAAATGGCACTGGAAAAAGTCAAAACAAAGATAAGCCAAAAAATAATTAATGAAATCTTGCTGTGCCAAATAGGCAGCTTACACATATACATTGGTTCCAAACATTTTTTCAAACGGTTGAAGCTTTTCAAACAAATCCTTATATAACTCCTTGTACTCCATTTATTACAGTTATGGACAAGTATCACTTAAAAAAGAATTGGCGATATTCTCCTTTATCTTGGTAACTATTAAACAGTCCAAAATCCTCTGATTTCAAAATGATTTTATAAACATCCTAGGGGGTTAGGGTTAAACACATTAAATTTTGTTCATTTATTAAAGAAACAAAGGAAATGAATTAGCATGGGGTAAACGTCGAGCTGCAAATCTTCCAACCTACCTTGGCCTGAGAGGTGAATGTTCCCTGATGTAGTTCAAGGTACAACTCCCCAACCCATGAACACAAATTATCTGTTCCTTCCTTCACCACAGACTCAAAGAAATGCTGAGGTGTTGACATTTTGACCCTGGCAAGCCAAAAAGACAAACATTATTTTACAGTGTCAGAGGACCATTACAGTTAAGGTCATGGCTAAACCAACATTATTGACAGCTTCTAAAGTGGAAAGAATTGTCTGACTGCACCAGCTAAAAGTCACATGACCAACAGTGGGTATTAAATATAAAAAAGATGGCATCCACCAAAAGCAAAGTATTCAATGAGTATCATATACCGAAAATAAAACAGACGGTAGGTACCGTAATCAGACAACTGAAATACTGAGTACTATACCGTAACTTGGCTGTATTATTTGTAAACAACATTCAAAACACACGTTGCTATAGGTCACATGATTTAGCGGGCACAATCGGTCTATTGTACTCCTACACTACCTTGGTAGCCCATCAACTTCTTTCATTCTCTCAAGTCTTGCTAGCATCACTTCACTACAAGAGATAAAACAGTAAAATCCTGCATTTACAATTTTGCTTAAAAATAACATTTTTCAAGTTCTAAATAATTTTTGTACAAGTTAATTTTAAATTCTAAGCTGAATAGTAAAGATGCTGCACTGAAAGGTCACAAAATTCCAAAGGCAGAGTGATTTAAACTGCAGCAAGTGAATTTGAAAAAACATTATGTAACCTTGGACCGCCTCCTCCATCACCGTAACCAAAGAGCAACATGGAATGATTGACACGCCCCTTGTCCTTGTTACCAGTCACCGTATTGAGAATCTGAAGGATAAATAAAAATGCAGTAAACACGACAGAATTATTTGTATTTCGAGGTAAAGAACTTTCCTTTCAAAGAACTATCCGCCTCAAGCAGAACAAAACAGGGTGTGTTTTTTTGGTATTCAATGCATAGGTGCGCTTATAATGGAGATGAATGGCATGTTTGACGTGGAGTACGCTGAGTACGCATAACAAATTTATTCCTTAATGTATGATCTTTGCGTACACACAGAACCCGTGTAAGAACCGCTTCGAAAACTTACAACCATTTGTCTTTCTTTTGCCGCTTGGGGGAACACTTCAACTCTGGGCGGATTGTAATAAACAGTGAACTTACTCTAAATAGAGACATTAAACCTCAAAACATCTCATTCAGAGAACAGAATTAGAAGTCATTACTGAAGTGGCACCATGCTTGTAGACAGGTGGAACATGCGGTAGATACTTGTTTGATTATTTGAATACCAAACTGCAAGTGCCTCTAGTTGAAGAAAACACCCGTATGTAGTCATCAAGACCACTGCAGTGATGGCATCTCCTGTGAAAAGTCTACAGGTGGAACAGACAATAAACTTACCTCTTCAACTTTAGCAGATGTCCCATAGTTATCAGCAGGAGGGAAATGAGTCAAGCAACGTGATCCATCAATACCTTCCCACCAAAATGTAGAATGCTGGCAAAATAAACAACAACTTCACATACATGTATGCATACATGTTTCATCTCGTAATGCGCACTCAAAACATTGTGAATAACATTACAAGCCAAACACTGAAGTTATTTTTAAACTCACAGTATTCACTTGTCACTGGAAAAAAACAGAATTGTTCAAAATGTTGGAAGTTTCAAGTTTACCGGGAATTTGTTGATGAGATTCCAACTGAGTTTCTGAGTAACAAAATACTCGATTCCTGCTTCACGTATGATCTGAGGCAGCTGAGCTGAGTACCCAAATGTATCTGGAAGCCAAAACTGCAACAATGGAACAGTATGACTGAGATTAAGAAAACAATGTTTTGTGTCCGAATAATAAGCAAAAGAGCATCAGTTCAGCATGATGAACACTGCTGATGAAATGGGGCCGTTCCCATACGAAGTACACAAGGAGTGTTAAGGTCATGTTGTATGTATTCTATGTATTGGTTGGGAGAGTGTAACTGCCTCGCACTCACCAATACAGCACTGAGTATACACAACATTAACTAATAAAACATTTGTGATTTTCTGTTTGTTTTCAGTTAAGCCTTGAATAGCATTTTCTAACTCAAGGCTATCTCATTAAACCCACATGTACATGTATGTGAGACTTACTGGGAATGCTCAGACACAAATGGATAAATTCTTCTGTTTACTTCTATTTCAATGACTAGACAGTGCAATAACAATGTAACAGAAAAGATATTTTATTAGGAATTATCCCTGATTGAAATACTCTCCCTGAGAAGGGCAAAATTGCTCTACGCCCTACACTCGAAATTTCTGATACAAACATAAGAACCCATAATTTGCCAGACTGAATGGTAGATGTAAACCTTTTAACTAAAAAAAAAATCTGAAAAAGTATGAAAGATTTAAGGGCATTTTTTCCGAAAAGTTTCACTTTTTTTAATTACAACATAATAAATTTGTGACCTCCCAAACAGCCTTACTTTCATAGTGTTTCAAAGGTACCGGTATCTCAATGTATTGAAAATAACCCTTTCATTTATTTCAGTAAAAAAAGATGTGGATCTACTGGTCGTCAGCAGTAAAGGTGCATCATAGCAACCACTTGCAGGCCATTTCATTAGTTTTTTGTTTCAGTTGAATACAGAGTAATGATCAGATAGCATCATGAAATAATTGTTGTTTATTTTTCCTGGCTGACCGGCAAAATATCAACAGTAAGTTGAGGAATCCAGAACTAGTCCCTCCCCTGCCTATGCCTCAGTACAGGACTGGAAAGATGGGAGTCTCCTGAAGACAGACAGAGTACACTACTTGAAACGTCAAGTTATTCCCCAGTTCTTCTCAGAACCACACATACACAAGAAAGAGATTGATACATGGTGTGACCACAGTCATTTTACTCATCTAGCTTCTTTCACCATGAAAACCTTCAAGTCTTATAAGAAGGGAGCTAGTAATCAAACTGCATTTAGCATATGATGCATACAGGTGGAGGGGGGTGTAGGATTTTACATGTCATGCATGTCGGGGAGGGGGTAACCATCCTGATATTTTTACATACTGTGAATAGCCCATTATTCATAAGATCTACTCACCACATTACATTTCCTCTGAAAAGCCTTCATAAAGAACCTCTGGCCATATAAGAATTGACGAATAAAAGACTCGCCACTAGGAAGGTTCCCATCCATCTCTACCCACACCCCTCCAACTGGAATGAACTGTTCCTGGTGAACACCCAGCTGTATCTTCTCAAACAGAACAGGAAAGTGAGTTCTCATCCATTCATACTGTTGAGCCTGTACATAAAAATCAAGTTATCTTTGATAACTCTATGCAAAATGAGTAAAGGACTTTAAAAATACACGTAAATATCATCTGCTTTGAAACATTGGGTAGTGTGTCTATCCTTGTCCATGTGGACCCTATCTTACAGCAGATACACTTTTAGTCTGGATAAATGTTTATGAGCACTAATGTGATGGACCAGTAAATAGGTTGACTCTAACTGAAAACAGACAACCTTATAGTCTGGATATCTGTCGATCAGCAACAATGTGGTGGACCAATGCATAGCATGACTCTACCTGAGAGCAGGCAAGCTTATAATCTGGAATGTCGGCGATACCGATATCTGTCTATCAGCACTAATGTGGTGGACTAATGCATTGCTCGACTCTACCTGAGAGCAGGCAATCTTATAGTCTGGATATCTGTCTATCAGTACTGACGTGGTGCAAAATAGCTTGAACCTACCTGAGAGCAAGCAAACTTGTACTTTGGGTGTCTGTTCATCAGTGACAGCGTGGTGGACCAGCTTCGTGCACACTTCCGCACTGTTTCTGCGTATGGCCATAGCCAGGCTTCAATCAAAATAAGAGTTGATCAAGCTTGAATTCTTGTGATAAGCAATCACTAAAACAATACAACAAATCTGTTTAATTTCACTATTTGCCAGTAATTTCTTTGATAACTCTATGTAAAAGGAGTAAAGGACTTTAAAAATACACGTAAATATCATCTGCTTTGAAACATTGGGTAGTGTGTCTATCCTTGTCCATGTGGACCCTATCTTACAGCAGATACACTTTTAGTCTGGATAAATGTTTATGAGCACTAATGTGATGGACCAGTAAATAGGTTGACTCTAACTGAAAACAGACAACCTTATAGTCTGGATATCTGTCGATCAGCTACAATGTGGTGGACCAATGCATAGCTTGACCCTACCTACGAGCAGGCAAACATATAGGCTGGATATCTGTCTATCAGCAACAATGTGGTGGACCAATGCATAGCTTGACCCTACCTACAAGCAGGTAAACGTATAATCTGGATATCTGTCTATCAGCAACAATGTGGTGGACCAATGCATAGCAAACGTATAGGCTGGAAATGTATATTTGCACATACCTGAATCAATGTGGGCATGCCCCATTGCATGCACAGTATGACAGGAAGAGCCTGATGCCTGACTTAAGAACTTCTGGGCAACCTGTCTTGCCTTTTGGTACGAGTCAGGGTTACCTATTGTACAAATGTTGACCATGGAATTGACAGTATACAAAGCTTGGAAGCTGCGTTGGTCAGTCTCTGGAATGTGCTGATGACAACAACAAAGAACTGGGTTTGAGAAATAAGCTAAACGAGTAGATGAGTTCATAAAATGAATCTAATGATTCAGTCATAATCATGTTTGTTTTGGAACATGCAATCCTCTACAGGGAAAAGTAACCAGGGGTGTATTTTGGGGAAAATGAAAAATCCATGAAACATTCGTCAGACGGTTTTGCAAGTCGCGTCGGCCACAGCTTCCCTACAATTCACGGCATATCTATTTGATTATAGGAGGAGATTCGGGTACTACATCTAAGCCATCACAAGAGCTGTTCTTTCTTTGAGGGATACAATTATAGCATTTACTGCAACAAAACCCTTGTCCTCTTCACTTCAATTGCAATTATACATGTAAGCTATAATTGG